GAAGTATTGTTACACCCTAGTAGTAAATGTAATCAAATGAATGTTCAACAAGGAGTGGCGCATCTTTATTGGAGGATTTGTCACACGCAGCCACAGAGCAGAGAACAGAAGTATCTCTATATCCCAGACTCAGATAAGTTTGCCTTGAAGTTGATAAGGAGCTAATAATACAGGCCCCACAGCTGTACACTTGTGACTTAAGGAAGTAATTAAGCTGGAGCACTTTATCTGCCTCCGTCCTGAGCCTGCTGTCTGTGTGATAAAGTGCTCTGTCCTTGTGTGAGACTGGCCCAGTGTCGCCTGCACTGGGGAAGCCCAGCGGCACCACAGGACGGACCCTCACTGCTGCAGGAGGAGGGGACAAGGATGACAGAAAGGACCCCATCATGTGACCCCATCATGTGACATCATGAGCTGTTTATTTACTTGGGATGGACATTGTTGTTAGATTCATTGACTTTTCCAAAACTTCTGCTAAACCATACGTTTTTATTATTCTATATGATATAGACAAAAAAAAAACAGAAATCACCCTATTGGAAATGTGCTCAAAAGTTGCATTCCTCTAGCTGCAGTCTACAACGGTTTTTGTTTCTGGCAGTTCATTTGATAGAATTTGCTCAAGAAGGGGTGAAACTTTGTATTGTATGGTACTAAAATAGATCTGGCTTTTCATAAACCTCTTGGTGAAGGCCAAATTTTAAAGTGTTGTGTCCTTAGGCAAGACACTGCACCAACATTGCCGAGAATGAGTCTGGTGTGTGTGAATGGTTGGTGGTGGTCGGTGGGGCCAATGGCACATACTGGTTGCCTCGCTTCTGTCAGTGTGCCCCAGGGCAGCTATGGCTACGGTATAGTTTATCACCACTGTGAATGGAGTGAATGAATAATGACATGTGAAGCGTCTTTAGTTGGTATTTCAATATCAACTAAAACACATTGGCATTTGTATATTTGATACATCATTTAAACATAATTATACACAAAATTATAAATAAATAAAAACATGACTTTTCCAGACTTGACCAACACTGCAATTAGTTTCCACAGAAATTTGCAAAACCAAATATTATTTCCTTGTGTTTTATAAATTAATTGATAACATATGATTTTTCTGCAGCTATTAAATTAACTGTTCAAATCTGACATACACCTCTGTTACAGTTTCTGCAAAAAAAATTATAATATTTGAGGTAATAATAGCTTGAAATCCAGTGTTTTTTTCTCTTAATTTGAGTTAATTCTGACTGTCTTAAAAAAAGATTTGCCAATGGGATTTTGCCATTTAGTCTTTTAGATTCATCTTGCCAAACCTTTGCCTATTTTTGATTTATTTTTCCTGACTTTTTTGTTGTGTGTCTATTGTCCAGTAAATAACTATTCCAGCATAACATCTTGCTTGTCTAAAAAGTCAGAACTTGAGTCTGAGTTAAATTGATCCGTTTCTTATTGTACATGGAACTCCACACGCCTGTTCTCCTCTTGGATTTCACAGTTTCCAAACCAGGCTCTTTAAGAAGATGTCACGCAGCCAATCCAAACATGTGCGGCTGCTTTAGAATGACTTTCCCATTTAATTGAAAGGAAAGCGCTTTTGGCTCTTCCTGATGCTGACAGTGGTACATGTTGAACTGAAGACACGTGACTTTGTGAAAGCAGCAGAGTGCAAACCATAGACTGTCTATTAGGAGAGGACTGAGAGAGTGTGACATCACTATAGTGCTTGCCGTAATGCAGAGGCCGATTTGAACATATGCTAGCTAGAGACGATTTCCTTATTTGGGTATTTCTCATGTCGTGTTAGCTTCACGCCGTAAGAGAGCAGACGTGTTGCTAGGACGGTTGCTAAGGCAAGCTAGAGATTTCCCCATGAATCAATCCGTATATGGCTCATTTACAAAAACAATATCAAAGTATAAGAAATAGGATCACAGAGAGCACTAAACTTGGGCTCCAAAAAAAAAAAATTAAGCCCAATTATGAGTGTAACACAAACAATTACTGAGCTTGAAGAGTTTACTTTACTTTTCCATGTGAGTCAATAGGAGCCAAAGCGAGTTGGAGCAAAACTTTGTCCATGAGCTTTTCTCCATTGGGGTTATTTGAGCTAGCGGGTTAGCATTGTTAATCTATATACAGTCTGTGCTACAAACACTACACTAAAGGATGACATTCACTAACTTAGATCTCCATAAGTAAATAGCGAACTGGACTTATATTTATGCAATGTATTTTACTTTTGAATTTGTATTCCGTCTTCCGTCTGCCTATTTATCAATTATTTTTTCTTCCACTTTATCCGCTGCCGGTACATTGAACAGGCAGCAGTCTGACAGAGGTGCAAACGATCCACACTCACCTCCTCTTCATTCATTTTCTTCTGCTTGATCTGTTCCTGTGTTGCTACGGCAGCCGTCTAAGCACACCCAGACTTCCCTCTCCACACACACACTTCCTTGAGCTTGATGTGGAGAAGCAGCGGCTCTACTCCGAGCTCTTCCTGTCTCACTGAGCTCTGCAGAGGACACTCATTTAGACTGCTTGCTATCTGGTCTCTTCGGCCATTACCCAAACCTATAGTATCATTATTTTTATATGAATTATTAAAAGATTTTGTGAGTGTAAATTACTAGCGACAATCGGTTCACAAATGAAAAACCTAATTTTTGCTGCACCGTATTAAAGCTGGGATTGAAAGAGACTTGTATTTGAAGTGGGCATTGTGTAGGCGATGGAGACAGCCGCACTATCTCCTCTCTTTCCCGTTTTAAAAATGTTACATAAAGCTGTTCGGAGTCTCTCGCTGCCCCCCAGCTGTGGCTTGGCCCCACTTAAGCCCTTGATGTGTTGCTTAAACACTGACACCTCTATCCTGGAACCAGAGGCCGGAGAAGCCACAGTTGCGCGTTCAACGGAATAATTTGTGTAGCGCTGGAAGACACCCATTTGTTCACAGTGGCAGCGATGATGAATGAGCAGCCCACGGACAGACCATGCAAAATAAAGCCGTAGTTTGCAGGAGAAATATGTGGAATACAAAACGGGCGCATAAATTAACTGAATCCTTATTGGTTTTTTCCAACAGTAATAAGTCAAAATTGAAGCACCCGGGACTGTACAAATGCAAAACCTGATAAATTACAGCCATTATTGGATGTATGGTCATGCAAGAATAAGTGAGTGGCTACGTAATTATGGGGTTTATTGTAGGCTTCATAAAGATGGAGATCTCATGTGGAGGTGAATAAGATTATAGCATAGACATCTGTATAAATTAACAGTTTCTAGTCAGATGATAATCATTCATTCAGTATTCATAATTTGGGCACATACATTATGCATGCCATGACCTCCAACAGGTGAATCAGACATGATGTGCTCAGAAGGAGGATGAGGAAATAAAATACTTTTGTAGTCGCAAATGCAATTACACATAGAGTTTTAGAAGATAGCAGACTATAGATAAAACTAGCCTTGGTACTCCCATGTTGCTGCTGTTGTGTGTGCTGAATCATTTTGAAAAGCACAACAGCCTGGACACCCGGGTCAAAATGTTCACGTGGATTTAGAGGTCAATCACAAACAAGGAGGGGCGATTGTAGTTTGTTTATGAATCCAACATGATGGCGGCTATACTCAAAACCATTGACATTATTTTGCGGTGACATTCTGTTGAATTTATCTGATTCTCGTGCCGTATACATGATTGACATTCAGCTCAGAAACGGCTATGGACAACCATAAACCACGCCTCTCCTACGAGAAAATTTATGATTGGTTCCCAAGTGACGTTGTTTAAAATTATAGCTGATTTGGGATCTTATTTATTCATCATTGAATTATTTGAGCATCTGTTTAAACATGATCAATTGCAAAAAGAAAATTACATAAACAAATATTGACATAGAGTACGCTCTATGTCATGATCCTAAAAGGGAGTAGGGTATTTCTGTGGTTGAATTGCAGATAAAAGTCCCGTGGTTGCACAGATTTTTATGAGTCAGCATTAATATTGGTATTATGAGGTATATGGGTCTGCATAATATAACAGTCATTACAGCATATTACATGAAAATCAATCAGGGGTTAGGGGTCTCCAACCTTTTACCCCCGGAGAGCTACTTTTTAAAATAAAAACTCAACATCTTGATAACTTGAAAATTATACCTTTTTTTGGACTATCTTACATATTTTAGCTTTTAACTATGATCAAGACAAGCAATTTGTCTTCCAGAATCATGTAAGACTGTACATGCTTTTTCTATTGGCTCTTTTTGTAGTGAATACTGAATACTTGAATACTGCAATACTACTTGGAACTGGTAGATCCCAACAAATCTAATAAATGTGAAAAAGCATTTAGAGTAGTTTTCGGCAAGTGTCATTTCTTTTTTTTTCTTTTTTATTTTTTTTTTATTTAGGCATACAGGAAAATACATAGTTACAGTACAATAAACAACAAAGGTACTAGTGGGGTTAGGGTAGGGTAAGTATGTGTGTGTGTGTGTGTGTGTGTGTGTGCGTGCATGTGTAAGTGTTTGAGCTTGTGGGAGATATAAAGCTGAGAAATATATACAAACATGTACACCTACATATACTCTTCCACATATATAGACCAGGATGCAATAACTATGACAATCAAACGGCAACTAAAAATAAAGAAACAACGCAAGTGTCATTTCTAAATCCTTTAGTGTAGCTACTTGAAAGAGGAAGGAGAGCCACTGGTAACTACTGAATACAGTATGGAGACCCCTGGTTTAGAGAGCGTAACCTCAGGAGTAAGAGCGCAAAAGTAATACAAATTTACCTGGCCTCAGAAATGTTTTTGAATTATGTATAGATACACGTCTCCTGCACAATATAATTTGTCCAGAATTGGTCATTCTCACCAGGTTCTTTCCAGAAACCAAAATGTTGACATCCTCTGAAAAACTGTGGTAAAGACTGTCAATAATAACAACAGCGTTTTCCTTGTGTCTTCTTCTACAGACAGTGAGATGGTCTCCGTGGACCGCCTGCGCCCCCGCACTTACGCTTCCCACCGCGCCTCCATGCAGCGCTCCAGGACCGACCCGCGCCTGTCCGTCAGCCTGTGCGACCTCCGCCTGCAGCCACAGTATGACGCTGACTCTGACGACGAGCCGCCCGCCAGCTCCAGCTCCAGCTCCTGCCACATCCCCCAGAACTCCCAGAATTCCCAGCAGAGCTCCCTCCTCCCGCCGCACTTAGACACAGACCTCCACTTCCACCCCACCCACGGCGCGCACACCGTCATCCTGGACAAGCACACTGTGGCCAGGCTGGATCACCGCGGCGACCAGCGCACGCTCGTCTTCACCAGTCGCCCGATGAGGAGCTCCGAGACCGTGTACGTGAAAGTGACAAAGGCGGGAGGCGCGAGGAGACCGGGCGCGCTCTCGTACGGGGTGACTTCCTGTGACCCCAGCTCGCTAAGACCCAGCGACCTGCCCTGCGAGCCCGAGTCGATGGTGGACCGGAAGGAGTTCTGGGCGGTGAGCCGGGTGGGCGGGTACCTGCAGGCCGGCGACATCCTGGGCTTGTCCGTGAGCGCGGCGGGCGAGGTGCTGATGAGTCATAACGGACAAAGCGCCGCCATGAAGCTTTGCGTGGACAACTCCAGACCGCTGTGGATGTTCTACGGGCTCCACGGCGTCTCGCAACTCAGGATACTAGGTGGGTGGTACTTCATAGAGTCCGGAAATGTGTCAGATTGAATGGGATTTAAAGCTGGGATACGTGACTTTTAACAATGTATGTTCCATTTGGCATATAACACAATCAAATTAGCTCCAACACCGCAAACAAATTATAAAATATGAGGTCATAATTGCATGAATCAATTGGATTTTAACTTAATTCGAGTACATTCTGCCATTGGGACAAAGCCAAACTGTTGCTTTATTTTCTCATTCCAGGGGAGACATTTCTTTTTCCAGATTTGAGCAATTTTTGACTTATTTTTCTTCAGTTTTTGCAGTGTAGCATCAAAGCAGTTTGGTTCTATTGCTAGTTTTCACATGCATTTATTTTTTGTCCATTGTCACATTTTTAGATCAGCTTGTTCAGACAGTGCAGTGAAAACGAGAGGACCACTCTTGCTCAGCCAATCAGCTCTCAGCGCAATCATCTCTCACAGGCCTCTTTCTCTCAAGTATGCACAAGACAAAACATGTTCTAGTAAGATGAAAATGTCGTGGTCTGATTTGTTCACAACATTCTAGGTCTTTCCGTTGGCACAAACAAAGAAAATGAACGACTGAGGCACTGAAAAATGAATGTTGTCTTCATTACCGCATGGTTTGAATAATAAAAGCTTTTAACAATATCCTTTTTGAGTGCCTCAGTCTTTCTTTGTTTGTATCGACACTGATCCCTGCACTAAAGAGACACATCCAAGCAGCACTCCTGGCTTCTCCATTATTACTGAAACAAAATGTATTATTTATGAAGAAAGGGAGGTATCCCGCCTTTAAAGCACACTTGTTATGCAAAAATGGTTACATTATTGTTCCCTGACAGTGGAATTAGCCGTGTCTGTCTGGAGTCATTTTGTGGACAATTGTTTGTTCAATAAGCTCTGTAGAACACACGTTTTTAACTTACATGTAGGCTGAGTTTACACGGAGACAATGTGGCAGTAAAATAGTATAGTTGGATGTCGGTTTCTACCAACCGTTCATACGGAGACTGTGTTCCAGGGGGGTGAAAACGTAAGTGTTCAGATCCAGCCTGCAGAGTGGGACAACTCAGAAACGCCGCACAGCGGAGGGCTCTCTTTCACACACGCGAGAGGGGAATAGGTGTGAAATCTCCCTCTGCTCTGACCCCCGCCTCCGCGCTGCTCCCCGCACGTAAATTTGGACATGCGCAGTATCGGAAAACAAACAAACAACAATGGCGGCGGTCGCACTAACTAGCTTCGTGGGCTTCCAGCGCGGCACAGAGAATAATTCTACTCCTTCGTTCGTCCAAACGAGACCACGCGAAGCTCTAGTTTCCGTTTTCATTTTCACAGCTGCTGTTGAAATGCAGAATGATGTTGATGCGTTCTGAGGGTCTGGCACAGGAAGTGAGTACACTGCCGACAGGGGGGGGGGTTGTAAAGTTTCTCTGCCCACTACTGGCCGGGCGCTAGAACTACATCGTTTTTCAACCTCATGTGAACGCTGAGAAATTTGCATTAGGAGCCAGGTCGTTTCTGTTAATAGCCTGGAAACGTCTGCGCAGCGTCTCAGTATAAACAGGGCCTTAATCGATCTGTGATGTCACAGGTAGATGTTTCATGTTGTAAAGTAACGCTTAACCAACAATCGATCTGTCAATCAATCCTACAATCTGCCACATGTTTTGTTACTGGTTCATTTGAAATAACTTTCTCAAGAAGGTGTGAAACTTTATATTGTACGGTATTAAAATAGATCTGGCTTTTCACAAAACTTCTTGGTGAAGGGCAAATTGTAAAGGGCTGTTGTGTCCTTAGGCAAGACACTTCACCCACATTGCCTAGAATGAGTCTGGTGTGTGTGAATGGTGTGAATGGTGATCAGAGGGGTCGATGGCACATACTGGTTGCCTCGCTTCTGTCAGTGTGCCCCAGGGCAGTTGTAGTAGTTTCTCACCATTGTGTATGGAGTGAATGACTGATGACATGTGAAGCGTCTTTGAGTGTCCTGGAAGCTCTGTATAAAACCAATGCGTTATTGTTATCATTTTTATTTGTTATTATCATTAATAATAATTTCTGCCACGTTCAGAATCCAAAACATATGGTTATAAGCGTCTTTCAACATGGGTGTACAGTAAAGGTAAACACAGGATTAGTCAGTGTGAGTTATACAAATATGTTAGCTTATCCTTTTCTTAATAATAAGCCCACAAACAATGAATGTTTTCAGATAACCCGTCTGTGTGTGCTGATCCATTTTCCATCATCACTGTAAACAACAGATTTAAGACTGAAAATGTGAATTTAACAATGACACGGTACAATTTAAACCTGGGGAATGCCAATAATACCTTCTCTGGATTAGCAATAGCCCGCTTTAAAGATTCACTCTTAGAACCAATAAACAAATGCATAATGTGAAGGGATTTCCATTCACAGAGGAACATAATCCTTATTTGAACTCCAGGCTAAGGTTCAGAGAAATGTTCAGAGTTTCGATCAAATCAAATTTAGCTTTTGTGTTTTCACATTCTGCTCCCACACTGTGCATATGAATGTCAGCTTTGTATCCGGGGACTTCTATCACGCCGCTTTGACTCCGGCAGATCTCACAGAGCGATAGTGCCACATCAGCTCAAACTAGAGGCGACTCATTAATGCCGGTGTTTGGATTCGACGCTCCTGGATCCTGGATCGCTGGAATGTGTAGTTCCTCAAATGACGAAACGCGAAAGCAACAATAAACCAGAGAGAAGCCATTTTTTATATATATATTTTTGTATTAGTAAGTAAGTAAGTAATCTTTATTTATATACCGCCTTTTCACTGCACATCGAAGTCTCAAAGCGGTTTACAATTGTTATTTTTGGGAGTGGGGGTGCCAGTACAGGAGGCACATGTCAGACCTATTGTACATATTTTTAGTGGTAGGGGAAACCGGAGCACCCGGAGGAAACCTACGCAGACACGGGGAGAACATGCAAACTCCACTCAGAAAGGCCCTGGTCCAACCGGGATTCGAACCCAGGACCTTCTTGCTGAGAGGCGAGAGTGCTATCCACTCAGCCACCGTGCCGCCGTATTAGTGCAATTTATGTTTTTAATTTTTAATTTGTGGCACCACCTGAATGTGAAAGTCAGATCCGCTGAAGCTAAGCAGGGCAGGGCCTGGTTAGTACTGTGATGGGAGACCTCTGGGAGCCGCAGTGGGGCGGCCGTGACTGTAAGGTGCCAAACTGCTGTTGTGTCCTCAGGCAAGACACTTCACCTACATTACCCAGAATGAGTCAGATAGATAGATACTTTATAGGAGAGATACAGGTGATCTGTGTGATGTGTTTGTGAATAATTGATGGAGGTCAGAGGGAGATGGCACATACTTGGCACCACATCTCTTGTCCAGTAGTTTATGCATTATTATTATTACTATTCAAATTTAGAAAACACTTCAAGTCCAGTGATTTTCTTCTTCCAACTTTTGGCATCAAAGTAATCTTATTTCTATGTATTTTCTTTTTTGCTTTAACACATGGAAGACATATGCTATTATGATATTGTGCATATGTTCAAAATAAAGAATCAATCGACCATTTTATTATTTTAAAAAATCCAAAACCTCATCCTTGCCTTTGCTCCTTTTTATGCACATAGATAACATCATAATTAAGATATCATTCAAATCCAAAGACTGAACTTTCCATCCCACTTTTTCATTGCCAGGAATGCTAACCACTCACCTATTGCACCATTATTATCTGGCACAATTAAATGTCATGAAGCTTCACAAAACATAATTTCCCTTCACAGATCTGTACCCATCTGTATAATATACAAGTTCGATGCCTACAAGTTTTGTATACATTAAAAGTACGTCTACGTGGCACGCAAACTGCAAAAGAAATTCACAAACTTAAACTCGGTCAATTCCTAATGATTATCGTTATGAGAGAGAGTGATGATTTGTGCATGGCTGTGCGCAGTCGTCTGTTCGGAGCTGCTTCCTGCCTTACGTGGGCTCTGGTCTCCGCAGAGCTGCTCTGTGTCTGGAGGGGGCCTGGCTGCTCCTCATGTTCTCTCCATATGCATTATTAAAACACATCCACATCAGCAGCCGTGCTTTATTTCCCTCCCACTGTTCCCTCATCTCACAGTCAGGTGCTCAGCCTGGTCTCATGTCCAGAGCCTTTTGAAAACAACCAAATTAAACCTGGAGTTGAAAAAATGTGCATCTAGAGTTTTTAAAAGTACTTGCTGGACTATACGCTTACTGTTATTTGATTTGTTTCAAACCTACACAACACAATTTCACATATTTTTACTCTAATACATGTTTGAAAAGGGGTTGGATGAAGCAGATCTGTCTTTGTTCCATGCCCCCTCTCAAAATTCAACAGAATACAATGCAATTAATCAACATGCAAAATCAATCCAATTTGATACAGTGCAGTACATACCGTAATATACCATGCCCTATCTTGGGCCAAAACACTCTCTGACCCTACCCCTCTCTCCCATCCCCTGCTTTGTGCTGAGGGAATCACTGTCTCTCCTCCACATACTTCTTCAACACTTCATTTTAAAACAGTTTTTAATTTGTAACAGTTTTGAAGATTTTGTAATGATAATAATAAAAATACATTTCTTAGGTAGACCAGACACTCCTGGTCGCCTTACATAACAGGTAAAAAGTACATTTAAAAACAGTTAAAATACAAAGTTAAAAGCAGCATGAGTAGAGGAGGGTGTAGTTATGGTATGAGTGAGTAGACGTGTTGAACAGATGAGTTTTGAGGGTGGATTGGAAGTGTGTGAGTGAGTCGGTGTTACGGAGGTGTTCCAGAGCTGGTGGCAGTGATGTGAAAAATGTTTGTATGTATGTGTTTTGTTAGAGCTCCCCCTGGGGTCTCGGAAGGGAATTGGACTCAGCTCTATACAGGGATTAAGAGTTCCGAGCTTCCGGCTCAACCGCACGGCATTGTGGGTAGTTTTCTCAAAAAAGTGGGCATCAAATCACGCTCTCCAATTAGATTACCTGTTGCGAGCGTGATC